AGAGCTAAACAATGAGGTACATGAGTTTTTAATGGCGGATAGTAGTCATAAACAGGCAGATCAGATCTATCAAAAATTAGATGAGGTAGTTAGTGAGCTGAAGCGGGTTGGTTATACTCCCAACACATGTTGTGTTTTGGTTGATTTAGAAGAGGAAGAAAAGAAGGAAGCCATTCTCTTGCACAGTGAGAAGTTGGCTCTTTCTTATGGTTTGATAAGTAAAACGGAAGGTTCTAGCATTCGCATAGTTAAGAATCTCAGGATCTGTGAAGACTGCCATGCTTTCATGAAGTTGGCTTCAAAAGTCTATAAGAGTGAGATTATTGTCAGAGATAGGACTAGGTTTCACCACTACAAACATGGTTTCTGTTCTTGTAAAGACTACTGGTAACTGTATTATTTGTTGATATTAAATCAATGTACTTAATTAATAATTTATTTGAAATTAAAATGTCAATAATGAAAATGTTGGTGCTATAAAAACTTCTAATATAAAATTTAGAAGAGAAGTAGCCCGAGGATTTGGTCTAATGTTCTTGCTGGTGACTACCTTTTGATTGATTAATGTGTGCGTGGCCTCTAATAGTTACAGACACTTCCCTAGTATTTTCTGGCAATTTGCAGAGGTAAAACTCTTAAGCTACAAGTCATTTTGAGCCATGTTGAAGATATTTCGTTTAGAACAATTTGAGACATCTGGATTCATATAGAGCCACACAGAAGCTAGTTTCTTGCTAGTTAATCAATATCAGGAAAGCAACAATTTCCTGATTACATTACATTGTTAGGCAACATATACAGTTTGAAATCAAAATTAATAATTAAGCTCAAGAGGTTCCAGAAAACCACAAAACATGGGGAAATTTCATTTTTAAGCTTCTCACAAGATATGAGATCTGGATATCTGCTGAGAGAAGACATTGCACCTCCGATGTCCACTGATTCTCTTTAGGTTGGGATTTTGATGTTATATCCTGCAGTAGTTTGAAGGTACTGGTTGTTTCCAAAAGTAGAGCAGAGCCAAAACTTCTGCTTCATACTTCCAAGCATTCTTGACATCCTATTCTTCAAAAAGGCTATTGCAGCTGAAACCAATCTTTGGCTATCAAATGTTGAGCTCCACTGGTACTCAAGAATCCATGTATTCGGATCTAACTGCACAGCTGAGGCACCCCAATTTTTCTGCACCCAGGAAGTGTTTGCCTTTCGAATCACATAGCCAAGCTTTCCATCCGACCACTTCTCAACAACAACGACAATGGGGGTAAGGAAGTAGCATATGTTTGTACATCATGACACAAAACTGAAAAAAACATCTCAAGGGCTGACCATACTAATGCTAATAGAAATGATCTAGCAACAAAGTTTTCAGCTTTACCTCTGTGACTCTGCCGGATAAGATTGTGAAAGACCGGGAAGAAAATCCACTTGTGAGCAACCCTGCGGTCTGCAAAGGCCATCCCCATACGCTCACCTCCTCAATTGCAGATTTATATAATGTGCAATGTGAGCTCAGAAGCAAACCATCCTAACAGATCAGAAATTTCAAGTTTTTACCAAAAGGGTTGAACCAAATAAGCTGAATAAAATTTACTTCAAAAGAAAGAAAGAAACAGAAGAAGTTTGATTACTACGCACCTGACTAATTTCCCATATAGAATTAGAATAGCTGCAATTTGAAACCTTTCCTTGAACAAGACCCTGCACCTCTTTCTGCAAGAACCTCAGCCTCCCATTCAAATCATCCACAACCCAAGATTTTTCACTAACATTTCTCACCATCTCAGGTGACAGAACAGGTTTCAAAGCCCCAGAGACCAGATTAGAAACTCCACACAGAGCAAAATAAACCAAGCTTAAAACCAAAATCATTCTCCAAAAATCACACCCAAAACCCCAATTTCTCTCCCTCTTCTTAATCTTTTCCTTCACTTTCAATCTTGAAGACGATTTACGACCCGGGGACACCGGAATCTGAGGAGAGTTTGATCTGGGTGTGGACAAAACCGAAGCATCAAAAGAGATGGGAGTGAGTTCAACACTGCGGTTGGTCTTGGGCCTTGAAGCTGAGAACTTGGTGAGTGTGCTTTTCTGGGAGCTAAAAGGCATGAGATCAAGAGTGGCATTGATGCTGGCCAAGCACATATCACACTTGCAGTTGGCGTCTTTTCTGCATCCTGGGTAGTAGCAGCTGTCACGATTTTCAGATCGGTCGTCTTCCATGGCGGCGGTGGTGGTGCTCGATTTCACTGAGGATGATGTTGTGGTCGTCGTGGTTGACGAAGATGAGAGGACGGTTTTCATGGCTGCTTGGGTGCTTCGGGGTTTAGGAGAGTGACTTGGTTTCTTAGACGACATGGTCTTTTAGTGTTGTTCAATGCTTACTGTGCGGGGAAGATATGGGTTTTAAATTTCAAAATCCCCAACGGTCATATATGGCATTGGTCAGATACGATTTTTTTTTTAAAGCATAAGAAGTAAAGTTACCTATATGGCTTTTCAAGTTACCAAGCAAAGTGAATTATGAAGAGCCATATTTACTTCATTTCAGATAATATGAGCAAACTATCCCTTATTCATAAATAACAACAATAATTACACAGACTGGCTCATGTATAACTTATGCAAAATCAACTCATAAATTGTTTTTTTTATAAAGAAAATAAAAGCACTTTGTAAATTATTTAAGATAACTAAATATAATTAATTAGTATTTCTTAAGTAATTTATGACATTAATTAAAATACTTAAATACTAATTATTCATTAAAATTCATTAAATAAAGACTAATTAATATAATTAAATAAGGCTAACATATTAATTAATTGCAAATTATTAAACTAAACAAACTAATTTTGTATTAATAAATATATAAATAAAAACAAATCCCACAAAATAATTTAAAATAATTAATAAATATTTATTAAGTATTTTTATAAAATTAGTAAAATATTTAAATACTAATTATTCACTAAAGCAATAATAATTAAAACATAATTACTAATTAAAGTAATTTAAAAAGGCTAAAGTATTACTTAATTACAAAAAAGAAAACTATTTTGTAAGGTATCGCCGTGCGGCTATACTCTTTAAATAATAATAATAATAATATATTATACAAGTATAGCCGGCCGGCTATACCTTTAAAATATTCGAATATATTAAACGAGTATAGCCGCGCGGCTACACTTTTGTAACACATTAATACCTAAAGCGTACAGCCGCGCTGCTATACTTTTATAATACATTAATATTTAAAGAGTATAGCCGGTCGGCTCTACCCTTTAAAATATATACGAATATTTTAAAGGTATAGCCGCGCGGCCATACTCGATGTAAATATATTCGAATATTTTAAAGGTATAGCCGCGCGGCTATACTTTACAAAAATGGTTTTTTTTTATTATTTTATTGTTGTAATAAAGTAATACTTTAGCCTTTTTAAATTACTTAGTAATTATGTTTTAATTATTATTTCTTTAGTGAATAATTAATATTTAATATTTTACTAATTTAATCAATTACTTAATAAATACTAATTAATTATATTTACTTATATTAAATAATTTTGTATCAACTAATTCTTCATATTCATATGTGTATCAACTGTTCCTCATATTCATATTTGTATCAACAATCAACCGTTTACTAATTCCTCATATTCCTATTTATATAAAGTGAATATGATAGGCATAAGTTAGGCATAATGCTTATTGTATACTCCTATAGGAAATCAGTGTAAATGTATAATATTTAACATTAACATGAGCATCAGAGTTAATTTTTTTATAACATGAGCATTATGTGCTTGTTTTAGTTTATTTCTCCTTTAATGTCCATCTATATCTATAGCCATTTTAATAAAGGAAAACAAGATGCTCGGTTAACTTGTCTTTTCCTTCGTCCTCCAAAAAGTAGGTGTGCTATTTGCTTTTTCAATAAGAATTCCAACGAGATCATAGTTGTGCTTGTGTGTGTGAAATCTCCATTTCCTGTAGTTTAGATTATCGCTTGTATTATATATAAATAAAAAACTAAATTCATAATTCATTTTCTTTTCCTTCTTCATGTATTTAATAGAAAGCATGTGCAAAGTTTGACTAATCTTTCTCGATAAAATGCTGCTACAAGATGGGGACCTGCATTTTGCTCGTGTTGGTTGAGTTTTGGGTAAATAGAATTTGCTGGAATTGAAATCCCTAAATAATTAAGCAGGCATATATCTGAGGATCTGTGGTTGAGGTGTACAAGTTCTACTCTGAGACTAGATTTCTATGGTTTCTTGCACGCCACACAAAACTTTTGGAATCAGATTCATTCATGACATGATGCTTCTTCATGAGCCGTAGCAGGCATTGACAATTCAGGTCACACATGGCAATGGCATCTTCTAATGCTTTACTAAAATAAAAATAAAACATTATGTCACAAAAAGCCCCACATGGACCAAACCTAGTGAAAAAATCTGCCCACAATGAACTAGGGAATTTTGATTAGGGTGTCAATATTATGCGTCAATAATCTCTGTCAAAATATGTATTTTAATTTTAAAACATATCAACTTTCATTTTGTGTTTCACACATCCGTCTCGTACCAAAACTCACACATTCGCACACGAGTGAACAACCGAGAATTGTTGATTAATCAACTGTCAATCAATTATTCACATCTGTGATTGGATGATGGTTGCATGTAAGATTGTAGAAATTATCTTCCACAACCACTTATTAATTATATTGGGAAAAGTCATGCATTAGGTAATATATTGAGGCTAATGGAATCATATTTTGTTAATCAATTAGTCTTTTCTAGTGGAGTGGGAAGTTGACCCATAATTGTTGCAATTCATTTAAATAATGGATAAAGATCAGATATTCTCTTCCTTTAGTTATTAGTTTCATAAATCCAGGGGAGCCAGGTAGGAAAATATATATCTTCTGCATCAAGAAGCATTTCAAGCCCAATCATTCTACATTCTTCCAAACCAATTCAAGCTTTGTTGATGTCTAAACAAGTTTATTTGACTGCAAGGTAAAACAAAGCTTTCTTGTAAAACAGTGAATGGAATTCTATCTTGAAACAACTTTTAAGTCATCAAAAGAATATCATGATGCTTTAAGAAAAGCAGAATGAGCAGACAAAAAGACAAAAAGAGAAAACTCAGGCTGTCTCTTGTAAAGCAAAGTTCAAAAGGGGAAAAAAAAAAAGGGTTTATATATCTGGTGTTTTGGAAATTAATTTACTAAAGAAAAAGAAGGATGATGGATTTAGTTTCCTCATTCATTTTAGCAGTTTTAATCTCTCTGACCAAGAAAAGAAGAGTGAAACATACCCCATATCAAATGGAACATGATAAAGCAAAACTAGGAATAAAAATTCCCCCTGTACAAGACTTAGAGTCTAAAGATTGAGTGAGAGAAACATAACTCATAAGCCATGAAATTAACTACCTTCATATATATATAATATAATTATTCCAACCAAGAAACAGATGCCATTGCCACCTCCTCTCTTTTCAATTAGTACAATGAGAAAGAAGAAGAATCACCCACTTGGGATGTGCTTGCTGATCTTGTATACTTCTTTGATGAGGAAGAAGATGGTGATGAGGACATGTCAGATCTTCTCCTAAGCATCTGCCTCATCCCATCTGCTACTCTAACTGCAGGGTTGGATTTGAATTTGCCACAAAATGACATGTGAGCTCTCACAGCTTCTTCCATACCAAATGACTTGTTGCTGCCTTTGCTAACCTCATCTCTAACTGCTTCTGAGCACAACCCACATAACCATTTCCCATCAAATTTGGCCTTCACTTGACTGATGTAGTCTTGTGTGCAATCCTCTTTGAGTCCACAACACTCACACTTTACCTGCTCAATCTCCATTTTTGTTTTTCTTCTTTTGATCTCTGCTTTGCTGAATTAGCAATCTCTGAGAGATGAATATTCTTTTTTTCCTTAAGTGTCAAAAGGATTCAAGAAAGGTGATGAACAAGGTATTGCAGATTATATGGATGTTTTTGTAGTTGGATTTGATTGCAATGATGGTGTGGAAAGTGGGTTTCTTTTCATTTCTTTTGTTTTTCTTTTGATGTGGTGTTGCTCACTTGGTAAGGATGCTATTGTTGCTTCAAGAACTAACAAGTGTTTGATGTATTGTATGAAAGCTTTTATGGTTGGATGTTGTATGAGAGCTTTTATGGTTGGGATTTTCTTTTTCTTTTTGATTGGTTATGGTTATTGGAAATTTAGGAGGGTAAGAGAGACAAGACAGAGAGGGGAGAGATAGCTCTTATAAGGTGAGGGTGGAGAAAACTGCCATAATTTCCTCCATGTTCTAAGGGACATGGGGCAGTGGGAAATGAGACAAGAGTGGTCGGGGGGTCCTCAGGGTTGGCCCTTTCTATCATATGCAAATACTTAATTCCTATCCCCCCACATAAATAAACAAGGGTGCGTAGGTTTTGGGTTGTAAATTACATCTCTCTCCACAACGATTATGATAAAGTCGTGCATTTTAGAGTCCTCGCACGACTGACGCTAGTATAACTCTTGTATATAATATAACACGATTGACGCTGGTATAACTCTTTCTATATAATATAGATTTCTTACTTTTTGGTAGTTTTAGTGACAGTTACTTTCGGTTGAAATGGCTTGTAGTGAATGTGGCTTGCCTTAGCTCTGTCTAGCTTTTGGCTAAAGCTTTGGCTTTGGGTAGTTTGTCTGGTTATCTTAGTTCCATGAATGTGTTGACTTAACTGCTGACCATCTGACTTTCATTTACTATAGGAATAAAGCCAACATGACTACCATGCTTTGTTGACCAAACAGGCCTTGGGTCGTTCAACGGCCAATGATTGATCAAGATGTGCATTATTAGGGGTTATGACTGTATGTTTTGCCCTACACACTGCCCACCCTCCTTGTACATTCTTATGGAAATGAAATGAGAAATATTTTCCTCTCCTTTCATCCTCTCTGGTCATGACAGCTGGAATGTGACATGGCAATTAGCAAGAGATAATTAAGATGAAACTTGAACACTTAATCACTATGTAGCCATTAATTATTGCAATAATTCAAACAACTTTGTCCTCCTTTTTTCTTTCAGGTGTCAACAGAGGAGAGAAGGTACCGTATGCTCATGTGCTATAGTCAAAATTCACAAGTGCTGTTGTTTTCTCCGCCCAGCAAATCCCACCCAAAGAAAAGAGAAAAGGGAAGGACAAAGAAAAGAAAGCAAATGGGATGTGCATTTGTTGACATGCTCTTTGGCCAATTGCATTACAAAACTTGTTCCTCTCTCTCGACAATTTTTCTTCTTCTTTTTTTTTTTTTTTTGTTGGGTTGGTGATGATGCAATGCAACTGTATCATGGCATCATTAAGAAGGAAGCAATGTATGATTTTTGTTCAGATGTCGAAGCAATCTATGATTAAGATTTTTCACATCTTTATTTTTTCTTGTGGGGTTTTTGAAGCTCTCATCTTCTCATGCTGCAAAGTTGCCATCACCTTCCATCCACAGTGGAGTTTTGTCATGTGTAGTAATGTTGACTTGATTTGGCTTGAGGGTTCACTAACTCAGCCCACGTACTGGATTGTAATTGGTCAATTACAGTGGGCATGGATTAATAATTTGAAGGGTTTTCCTCCAAAAGGAAAGTGATGTTCAAGATTATTTTAACTGGAGAGTTCAGTATTTGTGTTTGCTAGTAAATATAGAAACATAAAAAAGTATATATATGCATATCCAATCTCCTTTCAGTGAGAGATTCTTCAAATAATTTTATTTAAGAGACGTTCTTTAGGGTACCCTACGAATCGTTTTTCAACAATCCAAACCATCTATTTTTCAAGTCTTCATTCATAGATCATCTTTGCAAAAAATCAGACAAATTGAAAATTAAGACATCTAATTGAGACCAACAAAATCAATGAATATGGTGCTTCAAGAAAGTACTTAAATTTTAATAATTTAATTGAATGGTCAAATGATATTGGATTCAAGTGATTTTTTGTAGAGATGATCTTTGAATGAATATTTACAAAATAAAGGGTTTGGATTTGAGAAATACTATGCGGAGTGGGCTATACAAGGGTGTCCCACAAATAAGTTTAGAATCCCTCAAATAAACTTATTTAAAGGATTCCTCAACATAAGCTCTCAGTATATATATATACTGAAAAATTTGAGTGGCAGCAAAGAAGAGATGGACACGTAGCTATATACAAGGAGTTGAAATGAATGAATGAGACAACTCATTGAAGAGGCAAAAACAAGGGGCGCACAAAGTTGCTTGCTAACTTTTGTACATATCTTGGGACCAAAACAATATAACAAAAACTTTTGTAAATTTAGTAACAGGGGACAATATACAATACATAAATTTAGTAAAGGGTAATTTTTTGTTCTTTTATATAGGTTTAAGTCAATTTAGTTGTTAACCTGCCATTCAATTCGAAAACGAAAGTGAATCTAAGATTTCCTTTTTTTTTTCTCTTTAATAACATGACACGAAAGAATTCGTATTCGAGATATCTTTCAATCCTTTTCGTATTTGAGATATCTTATAATCTTTTTCATATCTGAGATATCTCAACAAATTAGAATTACATGAAAATTCAGGCAAACTATTTCATTTGCCCTATTTTCATATATGAGATATCTCATCTTTTCCATATTCTGTCAACCATCTTATCCATAATAATTAGAACATACTATTCTCACTTGACATAGTCATGATGACACGTTACTTTCATCATTCTGTCCAACGAAAGAAAACCTTTTCAAAAGGGTTTTCTTTTATTATTCACACACAGACTCTGATATGACATAAATTGTCAAATCAGATTTTTATTTTCCTTTTCGATTAGCATTTTGAGTGATTGTAATTTGTAAGGTTATTAACATGTTAACAATATGATCTTTAGTTGGAGAGATTTGTATTAAGTTAGTTGGTTAGGTTAGCGTGTTTGTTCTCTTCGCTTGATGAGTTGGAATTCTCATCTCCGTAATTTAAAGTAATAATTCACAATATCATTAAATTTGATCTTTTGTTAAGTACAAAGTAAGTGATAATCGACAATGCAAAGTTAATCCGAAAAGCGAAAGAGATAATCACAATTTGTTGATATTAATCATATATATGTCCACCATCCCTTAATAATAATTTGCTAAATCTTTAGATATCAAGTGAAGGACTACCTACTACTAATTGGAGTTAGATCCTACTTGTCCTTATATCAATAATTGGAACCATTGATTGAAAAACATACGTCCAAGATATGCACAGAAATCTTATGAAGATTTTAATCATGGATTTGTACATCTTAAGCAATGTTAGGCAGCCATAAGCACGCATTTGCCACGCAACTTATAATTGACAAGATTTGAATGGTGAACCAGTTGGGTTTTCGTATAGCTAGCTAAACAGACTAAATCCCAACCTAGAAGATTAGAAAGGGAAACGTCACAATTAATGAGGACAAATAACTTTGGTTTTGATCCTTTCTACAGATTATTTCTACAGTTCAATGTATGTACAGTACGCCACCTTGCTGACATGAACGTATATATACGTCGTCTTTGAAATGATAGATACAACATCTTCCGTATAATTCACTTGGATGTTTGTACAGGTAAGAGAGAAGTATCTATTATTGATATTTGACGTATTATATTGTCAGTTGTGTTTTAAAATTGCAAATTTGCATTGACTTCATTCATCAATCATACTGATTAACAACGTTACAACATAACATATGACAATCACGTTGTATAGTTCGATTGGATGTATGTGTACGTAGGGATCATCTCTCGACTGTGTGAGAAAAATGATCAAATAGGTTAGTGTGTTTTTGCATAGCATCTTTACAAAATGAATTGACGTTTTTTGCATTATGTAGTCGTTGGTGTTAAAGATTATGAATCCCACATCGAAAACTTCATAAAATAAAATAAAGCATATATTAAATGGTTTCATTATTAATAACGTCAATTCATTTTGTATAAAACTCCATACATATATGTAGTTAAGTTGGAGACAATATCGATAAATTTGCTAGTCCTTCTAAAATTTAGTAATATCGGTTCTCTCTTTCTCTTTCCTGTTCTTAACAAATTAATATATAATAAATTTCCAAGTATATTTCATATCGGATAAAATCCACCCACTATATCTTTGAATTAATCCATCCATGCCAATTTCCAAGTATATTTCATATCGGATAAAATCCACCCACTATATCTTTGAATTAATCCATCCATGCCAATTTCCAAGTATATATATATATTTTTTATATCTTGTCCTCACAATGCTTCACGACATCCATGAGAGCCCACGTTATTGCTCAAAATAGTTTTGGAACCTTCTACTATTGAAGGAGCTAATCCTGAAGAAATTGGGAAATCAACACTCTTTGTCTGTTGGGGATCAATGTTTAATTAATAAATAAATGCATTTTTAATGTTCGAACCAAAGAAGAAAGGCATAATTTATAGATGAATCACGACCAACTATGTAACAGGAATAAAACCCCTACCCAATTTATAATGCAAGAGGAAACAATACCTAGAATTTGGTTTGCTTCATGTGAATTGTCCTTCAACTTCATATATATTCAGGTATGGGAAATGAAATGATTTTCCACTCCCAAGCTCCTTTTCTCGTGAACCAAACGCCTCCTCGGAGTCCTAAAAGGTCTATGAACAAGCCATGGGCAAGCATGTGGGGTTGCCCAAGTTGAAGAGAGCCCCAGTTGCCCAAAAACTGTGGCCAGACAAAGAGTCCTTGTCATGAAACCGGACGTGTTGAGTAGTTGTCTGGTAGATGTCCGGCAATTCTAGTGGCCACAATGTTATTTCCAAATTCCAACTGATATTGTTTGTGGGTTGATCGCAAGATCTGGCCCAAACTCCGATATCCCTGCACCTGTTGCTTGAACAGGAAGGAATTCATTCATGGATATCTACATATAAATAAACATATACGGCATGCAATTGGATTTTATCTGATGCCTTTTTCTGTGTATGTGGCCAAACTCACTTCATTCATGATTTCCAGTTAGCTGAATGTGACCTTTTATACGTTAATAAATAACAAATAGATATGATTCATATGAATGAGTTAGGTATATGTCCTAAAACACCAACTTGCACTCGTATTTTCCTTTTCTTCTTTGATAGAATTGGTCAATAAACATAAAATCAGATCAAATTTCTTCAGAAGGTTTTCTGCTATATTTGTATAATCCTAAAAATGAAGTGCTGGCTTCTCGGCTAGGAGGAGTTGGCTTAACAAAGTAGACAAGCCACTTAAGAGTGAAAGTTAACCTAGTTTGATTAGGGAAGTTGATTTTCTCACTCCTCTTTTGTCTGCTTACACTCCCTTTATTGGAAATTGTATGTTCTCATTCCTGT